TGTTGTGTGTGCTGATGCGTGTTGTGTGCATTGTATTGTGCTTGTGTTGTGTGTTGATGTGTATTGTGTATTGTGTGTTGTGTTGTGCGTGTTGATGTGTACTGTGTATTATATGTGCTGTGTATGTCTTGTGTTGTGTGTGTTGATGTGTACTGTGTGTTGTGTGTGTGATGTGCATTGTGTGTGCTGATGCGTGTTGTGTGTTGATGTATATTGTGTGTTGTGTTGTGCGTGTTGATGTGTACTGTGTATTATATGTGCTGTGTATGTCTTGTGTTGTGTGTGTGATGTGCATTGTGTGTGCTGATGTGTGTTGTGTGTATTGTATTGTGCTTGTGTTGTGCGTGTTGATGTGTACTGTGTGTGTGATGTGCATTGTGTGTGCTGATGCATGTTGTGTGTTGATGTGTACTGTGTGTACTTTGTGTGTGGGTGTGAACACTTTACTGCCTTCTCATGCCAGCACAGTGGGCATCACTCATGCGTCTGCTGGTCACCCGGGTGGCTGAGGTGCAGCCCCACCTGGGCTCTGGAGCCAGGCTGAGCTGGGATGGGTGTGCAGCTGCCCCTGAGAATGCAGGACGGCTGCCCACCCTCTGGGAAGGCCACTCTCCCTACTGAGAATGTGGAACAGCCCCTTGGCTCCTGCATCTCTCATTGGTCCTTCCAGGGGAAGCCACCCACCCCCCAGGGCTTGGTGGAGATGCCGGACACTGGGTCAAATCCAGGGAGTGAGGGGCTTCTTGGTTGGTGCGAAGAGCCTTTAGAAACAGCCACCCACCCCCCAGGGCTTGGTGGAGATGCCGGACACTGGGTCAAATCCAGGGAGTGAGGGGCTTCTTGGTTGGTGCGAAGAGCCTTTAGAAACAGACCTGGCCGGACGGATGCTGCTGCCTCAGCTGCTGGCTCCAGGACCCCCGCCTGCCTGGGGACAGCCCAGGGACAGCAGCCACACAGAGCATTGGACCAGAACCAGGAACACACACCTTGATTGTGTGACTGGGCCTACTGGTGGGCCCCGGAGCCTGGGGTCTGGGGGAGGTGGTCCCTGTGTTTGGGAGCTGGACACCCTCTGCTGAGGTTTGCAGGAGTGAGGGGCCACCGTGGTTTCGTGCCAAATTCTCTCTCTGCTCATCACACACACAAAGGCGGGTCCTGTTGGGAGAGAAACGTTGCCCAATTGGCTGAACAGCCTCTCGCTGGCTTTGGCTGGCTCAGCCCCGACCCCTCCCTTGCTATGGCACTACCTCTGCCCTGCTCCCTGTCCCAAAGCTAGATGTCCTGGTGCAGCATCACAGCGGGGGGTCCTCAGGAGGCCTGCCCAGGCCCAGACACCCTGAGCATCGTTGGTTGCGGGCGCCGGTAGCTGTGGGACCCGGGGCTGTGAGAAGGTCTGAGGCTGCCCCTGCCTGCACCTGCTCTCGCCAAAGCTGAGCTTGGGACAGTGAATGAACAGGGGTCTGGAGGAGGCGCTGTGTCTGCGGGGGCAGGAGAGCGTGGAGCCGTCTCGCCGGGTGGGCCACTAGTTCTGGAGCAGGACCTGGTTTCCCTGACATGTTCTTTCCTGGTGGTCCACTCACGCCCTCTCCCCAGCCCAACCATTCTGCAGCCATCCTTGGGGGGGCTGGTCAGACAGTGGGGACAGGAGTCTGTCCTTAGAGGAAGCAACATCCACACAGTTTGGTCAATGGAGGGGCTCCTTGTGTCCACCTCCAGGCTGGACATTGATACACTCGGACCCGCAGCTTGGGGATGATGCCACACAACACAGGAGTCGATGGGGTGCATTTCTCTGATAAAGAGGGGAACGTTCATGGCGGGCTAGTTTGCTAGTTGGCCTTGTATGTGGCTTTTGTGGGGATGTGGTTTGTGGATTTGGGAGACAAGCAGAGGCCTGCAAAGGCTGACTTCTCTGTGGTCTGCCCCTGGGCCTTTGGAAAAGTCTTCTGAAACAGGTCCAAAGAAGACTGAGTGATTCATGCGCAAAGAATGCCAGGGTGGCCAGCACTCTGCATGCCACGAGGGTCAGAGGTGCCATCCAGAGGATTGTTCATGGGTGGTGGTTGCCGGTCACAATTCTGAAGCTTTTCCCTTAACTCAGAGCCAGGTTATTGTCTCCAGACCTGGGGAGTCTGGAGAAATGGCCAGGCCTGAGGCGTGGGACTGGCAGATGGGGCAGTGGCATAATCGTGCTGTGGAAGAGGCCTGGAGCCACTGGGCCCAGAGGGCCGTGGGGAGAGGGAGTGCTCTGTGGGGACCTCTGTGACCAAGGCTATGAGGAGTGAGGGGGCAGCACCCATCTCCTCAGACCCCCTCATGGGCATGTGACCAGGACCACAAGGGGATGTCCTCCTCTCACCACACACACACACACACACACACACACACACACACACACACACACACACACACACAATGGCCCTGAACCAGCCAACGAAACCCAGGACCTTAGGTACAACCCCAGCATATCAATCAGGATTACTACAGCTAGCTGGGCGATAATCAAAAAACCCCAGAAAACAGTGCCGAAGTAAATAAATAAGTAAAGTGGCAGCTGGTTTATTTCTCATTTGGACAAGAAGTCCAGAGGTAGTCAATCCAGAAGCAGTGTGGTGACCCCAGCTATCATCAGGGATCCAGGTTCCTGCATCTCTGCTCATTCAGCAGGTGGCTTCCACCCTCAAGGTCACCTCATGGTCTCAAGTGGCTGCTGGGGTGCCTGCCATCACCTCTGCATCGATGAACAAAGAAAGTGGACGTGGAGTGAGAAAAGTGGACTTTCCGAGCTCTCTGGCTTGTGCTGGGGAGGCTTCTCAGAAATACATCCCAGATTTCCTCTTATATCCCATTGTCACCCTTAGCTGCAAGGCAAAAAGATGCGACATATTTGAAACAGATTGAAAAAAAGTTTCAAAAATGAAAAATGTGACACCACCACTGCCACCACCAGCAACTCGCTTGACAGGATTAGCTGCAGACCGGACAGAGGTGAAAAGAGGCTTGTGAAGTGGCAGGAGGGTGGGGAAAGTCATTGGGCATGCAGGGCAGGGACGGATGAGTGCTACCTCCGGGTGGCTGGGGCGGGAGCTCAGCCAGGAGATCCGCCGAGATCCACATTCGTTCGCTCATGTCGGTTCCCGGGAGGTGAGAGGCGGCGCGGAGGGCTGGGGCGTCCCTGGGACGAAGGTGTGCTCAGCTTCACACTGTGGTTATACCAAGTCTGTGTGCTGAAATGTCGAGGGCCAGCACCGAAGGAGCAGAAACAGAGTGTGTGACATCTAAACTCGCGGGAGGGCAAGAGCAGAGTGACAAAGTAATCAGTCCACCACGGGACAGGGACAGGGAGTGCAGTGGGTTGAATTATGTCCCCCTGAAACTCCCTGAAGCTTGAATTGTGTCCCCCAAGTTTTATGTATGAGAAACTTAGCCCCCACTGTGACTGTTAAGAGGGTGGGAGATCCTATGATGGTCATTGAAAGGTGGAGCCTTGAAGAGGTGGTTGGATTGTAGGACCCTGCAGTGGTGAATGGATTAAAAATGGTGGTCAGGGGCGTGGTTCCGAGGGCTTTAAAAGGAGAGGAGAGTCTCTCTCTTTGCTCTCTCTGCTTCCACCATCTTGCAATGTGAGACCCGAGTCACTGTCACCAGCACCAGATGGACTTTGGACTTCCCAGCCTCAGAAACTAAGCAATAAATTTTGTTTTCTTATAAATCACCCAGTCCTGAATATTTTGTGATAAGCAACAGAAACGGACTAATGCAGTCCACTTGGCTGCCTGTCAGCAGCCACACCAAGAGATGCCACACTGACCTGCCATCGGCGAGCTGCTCGTCCTCAGGTACCCTCCCTGAGCTGTGCCAGCGCTGAGAGTCCTGGGAACCCCGCCAGCACTTGGCGAGTCAACAGAAGGTGAGGTGCCACATCCTCATCCGGGGAAGTTTCGTCAGCGATGGTCACCCAGCGGCCTTCTCTGCTTTGAGTTTTCCATCGACACCCGAGGACTGGTTGCGTCTTCCAGCTCTGCACGCCTGGGCTGCCCTCCGTGCCCACGCCCATTTCCATGCTGCGCAGATGCGGGCCGGCTCCTTTCCCAGCTGGTTTTCTCTTGTGCCCTGACAGACTACTGCTGCTCATGGCAATGAGGCTGAACCTCACTAACGAAAAAACCCAAAAAGGTGCGAGAAGCCAGACACACACGCCCAAAATGCATGATGCAGGATTCTGTTTACATAAAGCTCAAAAGCCGCAAAACGAAATGGTAATGCTTAGGGTGCATCTTAGGACAGCTGCAAAGTGGTCACAGCCTGTCTGGTGGTGCCTGGGGGGAGGGGTGCTGAAATTGGGAGGGAGCAGGTAGAGCACTTTGGAGGCTGTTGAGGTTGTCTTTTCTAGGAGGTTGTGACCTAACACTTTATGATAATTTATGGAGCTGTGCATTTATGTTTTAGGCATTTTTATGTGCATGTTTTGTATTTCTCACCAATAAAAACTTCAAAGGATAAAAACCCAGGGGAAGTTTCAATGACACATGATCAATAAAGTTCATCACAGCTTTGTTTGTGTGGCAAAGAATTAGCACCGTGCTGTTCAACGACGGAGGCAGGGAAGATAGTTCATGGCAAGCTGTGAACAGGAAAAGCACTGGCTACTTGAAATCGCTCACGATCGGGTATGCAGTAAAAAGAGCCAGCCACAGGGTGATGTGCTAGTATGGTTTCCTGCTTGTGCACACGAGTGTGACTATTGCTGTATGTACACACGTGTGGAAACGTGTACATCAGCACCCCCACGATGGTGCTGTGGCGGATCATCTCTGGGAGGAGGGATCATGGGTGATTTATCATATTTCCTTTCTGCTTCCCGTTTCTCAGAGACAGAACTGGTTACCATGGAGCCCCACTGCTGTCAAAGCGGCCGGTGGCCAGTGCGTGGGGTGTGGGCTGCTTCCTGGGAGCCCCCAGCAGGCACAGCCCTCACCGCACTGCGGGTCCCAGCCAGCATGGGCGGGGCCGGCGTGGACGTGTGGGGCTGCATCTTTGCGCAGCTGATGGCCAAGAGGAAGCACTGGGACGTCTGGGGTCTGCTCCCCCAGGAGAGCCTGGTGCCAGGTGTCTGGAAGGTGGCAGTTTCCAGTACCGACTGAAGGGGCTGTTGAGGTTGGCCGAGGGCTGGGGGCCTCCTGCGGGTCCTGCAAGAGGGGAGAAGGCTGTAGGTGCTTCACCAACGGCCCTTGGTTCGTCCTGGAGTGAGGGTGGGTGTGGCCTGGGAGCAGTGGCCACAGGGTGGGAATCGGGGCATCTGTCTGGCCTGGTCTCGTGCCCCAGACAGGTGGGCGGGGCTGTGTACTTGTTCTCCCTGATGGGAAATGGGGCTGCTCAGTGCCCATGAACTGAGAGGGACTTGGGGCCGCCCATGCCATGTGGGGGGCTTCCTTTTGCTCACTTCAGCTCCTGTGGCCAGCGCTGCCCTTGGAGGCATGGCTTGTCGCCTGTTTCCATGGCATTTCCATGGCATTGCTGCTGTCAGCGCTGACAGGTGGATCTGGAATGTGCAGGTGCCTGTGGACACTGTCCGGCTGTGTGCTGCAGACAGCCTGAGGACCAGCGGATGCGGCCCTGAGTCGGGTGGGAGCTGGGGCACGTGTGGGGTGCTCACAGTGGGGTGCTCGGCCTGTGAGTTGGGGAGCTGCCCCAGACTGGGCTGCTGGGTGGAGGGGGCCCGGATTGGGAGGCCTGGGATGGCTGTGGGTCCCCAGGTGAGCTTTCTGCTTCATTGTCATGACAACAGTGGCTGTCAGTGAATCAACGGCTTCTCCCCTAACCAAGACACCCCAGCTCTGCAGAGCGCCAGCAGGGAGGGGCGCAGGGCAGTGCCACAGGCCTCGCAGACATCCGGCCAGTCCAGCCCTCAGAGTGCTGGCATGATGGTCATTCTTTGGGGACACCGTGGGCATACAGGGAGTTGTCTGCCATGTGACGCTGTCACCACAGCTCCCCAGTGTCTGAAATCTCCAGGGCCAGGTGTGTGTGGGAGTCCTGGCTGTTTCTGGTGCCGGGAAGGTAACAACCCTGGCGGGGTCTGAGAAGTGCCTTGGAGCCCCTCCCTGAGCCTGCAGCCAGAGTAGAGTGCAGACCCGCTCTGCGCGGTGCGCCAAGGCTGTGTCTTGTAGATGGGATACAGGCTCGGGGGACTCAGAGACTACACGGCAGGACCACGCCCTCCCACACAGCAGCCACCACCATACGTGGCTTTCCAAGTGCCGATTAATCAGATTTAAAGTGGTAGAAGTTCAGTTCCTCGGGCACCGTCCACGTCTGCGTGCTCTGTGTCCACGCGTGGCTGGAGGCTGCGGGCTGGGAGGTGCGGATGTGGATCAGACCAAGAGCTTCCACCGCCCGAGAGCTGCACGGGGCAGCGCTGAAGCAGCGGCTCGCAGGAGGGCAGGTTCCCACGAAGTGCGGAGCTCTGTGTGCGCCCAGCGAGGGGTGGCTCATCGGGTGGCCTGCAGGTCTTGGAGGAGAGTGTCCATCATGGGGCCAGTGGCTGGCTGGGAGCAGGCCCGGGCCCTCCCGCACCTTCCTCTTTGGGGTCCTGGGTGCAAGGCCTCTCCCAGCCGAGGGGGTGGGCGCCTGGCTCTGTCCCGTGCACACGTCAGAGCGCACTGTTGAAAGTCCCGGGGGCTCACCCGCCGTCCTGGTAATTTCCGCTGTGTTGGCAGGCTGATCGCGCCACCTGTGCCCTCCCCAAATTTCCCATCACAGGTGATGCTCAGCAGGGCGTCCTGCGCCATGTCGGGCAGTCCTCCAGCTTTATCTCCCCTCCGATGACAGGAGACAGCGGTGTCCCCTCCTCTCATTTGGGATGAGCCCATCAAGGCTCATTTCCCCAGTACCTCGTGGTAGCCTTTGCAAGTGACAGACACCCAGGGGCTTGCTCTGCCTGTTTTGACTGTTGTCCCTATGACTGCCTCTGACTCTGGCTAAACCCCAGGTCACAAAACAGAAAAGCAGCAGACAGCAGACAGCAGACAGCAGCAGAGCCGCCTTGCAGCTGTCAGGCCAGCATGCGTTGGCTGCACACTGATGAGCAGGTGTTTGCATCTCAGCTTTTTAGATCAGGGGCTGCAGGTAAAGGGGCTGCAGACCTGCGTTCTGTCCGTGTGCAGATGAGGGGCTCGGGGCTCACGGAGGCAGGAGGAGGTGTGGGCTCACCTCGGCCGCAGCCTTGGCTGGCTGGCTGGAGGGTGAGGTTTGAGGGTTAAGGTTTGAGTGTGGGATGTGGCTGTGGGACCGCAGCGACACCAGCAGAATGCCAAGGGACCCCACCATGTGGCTTCTGCGGCAGCTGGCGCCCCCTCCCTTCAGCTCACCTGCCACCTCTGCCCCACAGGCTCCAGTGCCACTGCTGCCTGTGGCCCTGGGCATCAGCACATGTGCACAGCCTCTTCCACCTGTGGTGGGAGGGGGACGCCCACCAGGGTCTGGTGAAGATGCGCATGGGGGCCAGCAGTGCAGGCTATGCCCCTGGGTGCCCGCAGAGACTGCCAGGTGAGCCCTCTCAATGTCTGCATCTCCCTCAGCAACTGGTCCTGTACGTCCTGTGGAAATGCTACCGGGACAGCCTCAGCCCCAGCCAGTGCCCCGAGCTCTGCTTTGGGGACCACTGTGAGGCCTGCGATCTGGGGGTCTGCCTCCTCCAGAAAGCCCCAGACCCCGCCTGGGGGCCCATGGTCAGGAGCACCGACTCCTTCCAGGGCAGGCATGCCACATATGGTGACGGCTTCACCAGCAGTGCCATGGGCAGTGACGGCACCGGCTCCAGCAGCAGACAGCTGTTGCCGCTCAGCAGTGGCCCCATGGTCAGCTGCGCCAGCGGCCACGACCCCAACTCTGTCACCATCTGTGTCTCTGTGTCCCTGTGTCCGTCTTCATCAAGAACACCCTCTCTGAGAGCAGCGACCTCTCCCACAAGTGTGATGGCATCGTCACTATCCCTTTCTCCCTTGTGGATGTGGATGAGGACAAGGGGCCTGTCGCTGATGGCAACGGCCATGTCGCCCCTCAGGAGGGCTCCCTTCCAGCTGCTGGCCACAGTGGGCCCCTCATCATCCGCAGGGGCTTCCTCCACCTGTCCAGGAATCCCGTGGCCGTGCCTGAGGGCAGAGGCCTCCCGGTGACCATCACAGCTCCTGTCTTCCACCGCCCCGGCCTCCCCATCAGCAAGCTCAGAAGACCCTCGAGCCCCAGGCTTCCTGTTCAAAGGCTCGGGCTCCGTCTCCAGCCCTATGGGTGTGGCCACAGGCCAGGGCCCCATCTCCTTTAGCGACAGCTCTGTCACCACTGGAAGTAGCCCACTGCCGGTGTCCTATGTCATCAGCCTCATGGCAGTGGGGACGATTCCATCACCCTCCTCTTGTCCTTCACCAGTGTCATTAGAGGCCAGGACTCCTTCACTAATGTCACTGAGGGCAAAGGGACGAGAGATGCTGGCGGTGGCCCTGCTGCCACTGGTAACGGTGTCCTTCCAGAGCCCAGCGCTGGCGGCCCCACTGCTGGAGGGGAGGGCTGTGTCGCCTTCTCTGAGGACACCACAGACAAGGGCTCCTTTACTGATGTCACTGAAGGTACAGGGAGGGACGAAGGTGGCTGGGGCCCTGTCACTGCTGGCCACGACTGCCCCCAGGAGACCAGTGCCGCTAGCCCGTCTCCATCAGCGAGGGCTCCGTCTCTGTCCCCCTCTCGGTCTTTGACATCATTGGGTGCAGAAGCCCCAGCCACAACGCCCACGGCCCCACAGCAGTGGCTTTGTCACCCACAGTTGCTCCAGGAAGGAGAGGCGGCTGAGGTCCAGGTTCGGCAAGTCCAGCCGTGGGTCCCACAGGGAAGAAGGCGCTCACCCCGGCCACACATGTCGTGGGCCGCACACTGACCCCTGTGAGGACATCTGGATCTGGGTTTCCATGGCTGTCTGTGTCTTCTGGCTGATGTGCACGTGCAAACTGAGCCCTGGCGACTTCCAGCAGCAGCCTTGAAGCCTGCCCCAGTGTCCCCGCTGTGCCTCTGCAGCAGGACCGTCCAGGCAGGGCCGCCTCGGGGCGCCCCAACAAGCAAGCCCCAGCACCCCGGCGCCCCGGCCCCTCCTCCAGCCTGTCGCCTCCGTGGTCTCTTTCT